CTCGTACGCGTAGGCCTACTGCAAGTGCGGCTCGTTGTGGTACGACCACTTCAAGCACTAGGCACCGCTCTGGGCTTAGCGTACGCTACCGAAGCCAGCACTTAAGTAAACACGCCTGCCGGGGTGCCCAAGGCCAGAAGGCTATTGGCAACGCAGTTTCGGTTTCATTTTCACGACAAGGCAATTTTCAAACTATTTATCAGTAGAAAGATGTGCGCTGGATTCAATTTTTTTTTTATAAGTTGAGAATAAAGATTTGCTTGCACCTCCTTCAAATAAGTAACACTGCCATTAGCTGCTGCTGGCAAGAATAATTTAATCAACCTTCCTAGCAGAGGCACTAGGTCATGCCATAGCCTTATTCAAGCAGTCGCAAGGCTGAGTGTCGCTGCCTCATTTTCCAATTATACAACACCTGGATTATATGACAGCCTTGTGCGGTCCCATGAAGGTTGCATGATTGGGGTTCCACTGTAGATCGGAGTACCTATAGTGGTCTTTTAAAATTCATACTCACAATCGGTGCAACATTAACAATGGTTCACTAATGCGCGAACCAGATTGTTTTCCTATGTAGTTTGCCCTGTATTGAACTCAATCACGAACTAGATCTTGTGTCTCTTCAAGATAACTGCCTCATTGAATTTCGGTGCACACTGAACTTCAGTGCATCTGTTAACCTGCACAGCCAAACAAGTGTGTGATGACTGCTCGTGTTCTTTCAACCTCATGTTCAGGTACTCTGCCCATTTGTCCAATGGAACACCCAGTGCCGATTAAAAGAATTGAATATACCACTCCTGTCATGAATTTATGTCGGGAGTGTTTGCGAAGGGTGGATTTGAGAAAACTTGGAATTGGGTGTGCCAAGACAAACACAATTTTTACTCTTAACGGACAAAACTAATACACAGAATTCATGTAAAATCACTCAATAACTATCTGCGTATATGGGCAAGCCCAGCCTGACTGTAGCTCAGTCCGAATCCGTTACTAGCCCTAGCCGCTAGCCCTGAGCCAATATGGCTTCAACAAGAGAATGTGCTTACACTTTGTCGCATTGCAACTCGTTGCCCTTTGTGCCAAATCAAGTCAAGTTTTATTATTTAATAATAACATGTACAATGGAAGAATATACAGAAGGAGGTCCCGTAGTATACATTGAGTCGAGTCTTCCGTCATTGACAGACTGCTGCACTTTTTACGGTCACCGTCGGTTGGACCCGCCAAACGAACCACTCGTCCTCATAGCCGGTGTCCCGGTCCTCATTTTAATCTTCAGTCTCGCTAGGCTTAACTCATCATGGACTCCGTCGCTGACGTGTCTACTTTGCTGACTCTTGCGGGCTACCGTCCCGGCGTGAAGTGGGGTAGCTGCAAGTCCACCAGGAACTGCTGGGCAAGGGTGTGGCAAGTCTGGGCAGCCTCGCTCGGGACCTACGAGGTCTGCGGCCGCTTCCCGGGCCTCTCACGATGACATCTCTCAGAACCGGGTGGCTATGCTGCTCCCGTCGCTGCATCGACGCTGGTTTCACAGCCACGTCTTCGCAGCTCGGAGCCCCAATGCACAGTCCCAGCTCATCCTCTGGGATTTTCCTTCACGGCTCGGGTCACATGCCACGAGCCTGTTTCCGACCAATCTCTTGCGTCGACGTGGCTGGTGCACGTGCCTTCAGACGACTCTTTTCTCCTCGTGCACCATCGCCCTTTCAAGTTCGGCGCGTGCCTCGTGTGTCTCCTTTACTCATCACACAACCAATAAAACCAACAGGCAGTCAAACCTAAGAAAACATGGGGGACATCATTTATGATTTCTCAACGGTACTGCATTGATTTTCAGCGAAAGTGCGGGTTCGAATCCCGGCTGCGGTGGCTGCATTTCCGATGGAGGCGGAAATGTTGTAGGCCCGTGTGCTCAGATTTGGGTGCACGTTAAAGAACCCCAGGTGGTCTAAATTTCCGGAGCCCTCCACTACGGCGTCTCTCATAATCATATAGTGGTTTTGGGACGTTAAACCCCACATATCAATCAATCAATCAATGATTTTCAGCGAAAGTGAAAAAAATTGAAATGGCTGAAAATCTTCCTTTTTGTCCACGAAATCCTTACCCGCCAACTTTGAATGTGACGGTTGTAGGTTTGGATCCAGATCCAGATGTGGCGGTTGTAGATAAAGTCATATACTGTCGACAAGGTTATATCGAACACACATATATCATATTTCGGGGTATATCGAACTCCTAAGTTATCCCTTTGAAATTCCTTTGTAAAAGTATGTTTATATCGAACTGTATTTTTACCCACCTTCAAATATACCGAACGTTGCGCTAGTTGGAAGGTGCGCTTCAGCACTCGCCGCGCCCCATGATCTCCGTGGCAGTGCGGCTCCACGCGCAAGCTGAAAGGCGTGTTTTGGCACTTGCAGCGCCCGGCGACCTCCACCCGGCACCATGCCTCCGCCAAAACCTGAAATGCTCTCTCTAACTTGCGGGACAGTGTTTTTTTTTCTTTCTTTTTCTCTTTCTCATGCTTTCTCGGCATGCCCGTCGGCTCTGAGAGCAGGAGCGAAGGCGCTGACGTCCTCATTCAGTCGCCTTTTATTTTTTGTTGTTGTTTTGAAAGTTTTGATCAGCCAACCACAGCTCGCGATTTTTGCTGTTGTTGTCCCAGGTGACCATCGCCTCGCGAGCACTTTGTTGCTTCCCTTGTCACGCCGCCTACGTACCACCGCATGCGCAGCATTCCTCTTTTGCGTGCGTGGTGTGCAAAGCCACTATGGGCTCCTTGAATTGTCGACTTCTCGTGTAGCTATGACCAGTGTCAAGAAGCGCAAGACCCTCGACATTGCGATGAAGTTGAAGGCTATTCAGCGTGTTGAGGCTGGCGAGAAATGTTCGACCGTTGCGGACGACTTAGGGATACCATGGAGCACACTGAGTACCTTGTTGAAGAACAAAGCAGATATCAAGGCAAAGGGGGCAGAGCAGTGAATGTCGGAAGCCTTTCAGTGAATGTCGGAAGCCTTTCATGTGCGCGCTTCTGCCCACGGGAATGTAGAAAAGGCACTGCCTGGTCTTTAGAAGTGCGCACAAGGAATATTCCGGTAGATGGCCCGATGCTGATCGCCAAGGCCAAATGGTTTGCCACTGCACTCGGTGAAAGAACTTCGCGCACAACACCTAGAGGCTTCAACGATTTAAGCAGCTCTACAATATCGTTGGCAAAATCAATTCTGGCAAAAGCGAAGCTGTCAGCAGTCAAGACATGCAGCAGTGAATGACGAAGGAGTGGCCGGAAATCTTCATGAAGTTTTCTCGCACGGAGATCTTCAATGCCTGGCGAGATGTGAAGACGAAAACAGTGGTCAACTGCTTCTGCAAACCAGGCTTCAAGACGCCAGAACTTACAAAAACAAGGAAAGACGACGATAAGCGCATAAATTGCGCATTTCGCGAGTTGTCGTCTCACTTCTCGGCAGCAGTTTTACACAAAGTGTCTGCAGACAACTTCATGGAAGCGGACTGCAATGTCCAGGCCGTTGGGAGCCTCGCTGACGAGGACATAGTAGCTGCGGTCGTAGAAACCCTGGCTGACAGCTCATGTGACGAGGAGGATCGTCCGGACGAAGCGCTGGCTACACGCGCGTACTGCGCCGCTGAAGTGGCGGCAGCGTTCGGCATCATTGACCGTTGTATTAGCCACATGGAGGGAACCGGGCTGTTACACATGGGCAGCCTTGATAAAATCGAAATTAGCGCCTTCAACATTTCAAAAACAAAGCAGGCCAAGATAAGCAATCTTTTTCATGCAAATAAATCAATTTGTTTCGGCGTGTGTGTGAAATTAGTTGTCATTCTTGAATGCGCCTATTGTAAGTGATGGTCGACTGCAGGAAAGCTCTCGGAGCCTCAATTTTTTTATATCGAACTAATTCGCGATCCGCTCTGAGTTCAATATATCAATGTTTAACTGTATGTCCCATTTTGGGATGCTAAACTGCAACAATTGTTATAAAGTCATATGCACCCCTGCTGAGACCTTCCGGAAATGGGAACGACCTCCCTGCCCGTGTCAACAGATCCAATAAAAGTGGCCAAAAGGACCACTACTGCCTCTGCTAAATGGTGGAGTGGTGCCTTGTTTCATGCCCTTCGTCCCTATGAGACACCTGATGAACAAGGGAAGCATACTTCCTGGGGCCACACTGAGTGAAGACATGGGGGCGGCATCGTTTCTGTTTCATTCAAAAAGTGTAAATGTTTAATAAGGGAACGGAAATCTGTACAAGTTGTATAGTTATTTACAATGGATGGGATTAAACATGCTGTAGAGGGTTCTGCTAACGGTAACTCTGAAGTGTGCTTGCCTGAAATCGTATGAAGCGTTAGTATTTGAAAAGTAGCGCTCATCTTGTGCACATGTTCTTGCCTTTTGCCTTCATATTTTTGCGCGACCTATCTGACATGCCTTAGTCGAATTTGTGCTTGCATTGTAAAGATTCCAAATGTCTCCCACTGCTGCATCAAACGAAGGCACTGCCCCGGCATAAAGATAGGACAGCGTGAGAAGTTGTTGAGACATTTATTATTCACAATTATGGCAATATGTGCATTGCCAGGCCATTGGTTACAATGCATAAACTAGATACAGATTATCTCGCTGCCAACCTCCAATTGTTTTCTTATCATGTTCTTTATATTTGTGTTTTCTTCAAGGACCTTCCAGTTGCTGTTTTGTGTATGTCTTCCTTGCCTTGTCTTGGTTTATTTTGCACAGTTCTTCGTAGTTCAATAGGCAGTGTGAAGGTCCTGGGTTCAAAAGAAGTCTTAAATATGTGTGTTGTTGGGAGAGTGGTCGCAAGGGGATCTTTGTGTTGGGGCAACACGAAGGGAAAGCAGTCGAGTCTTGTTCCCGTAGATTGCCGAATGAGTGCAATGTACTTTGGACACCTTCCCCCTAATGTGGGACCTCATGTGACGGTGGCCTCTGCCCTTGACAGATTGGCGCAGTGAGTGCTTTTGCACAGACCCTGCGGCGATACACGTCGCTCAACCACCTGGCGCAGGCAGCACGGGCCGTGCTTCAGAACTCTTCCCAGATCAACCAGATGCTGTCCGACCTAAACCGGGTAGACTTCCACAACGTCCAGGTATGCCTCTCGCCACCCATTCAGTGGTGCCGGTCACATTTTCTTGTGACGTGCTTTGTTTATTTAAAGTGGAAACACTTCAGGAGCCCAGGCTGTCGTATGCTGTCACTGTAGGTTGTTGTAGCTTAGTGTAACGCTGGCTAAAGCACATATAAAAATTGGGGGAAAATGTGAGGAAAGTAATCGCAGGGGTGCAACAGCTGCACCAATTGCATCAATTTGATACAATTTGAATTTTTGCACCGAGCTATGCCAAAGCCATGAAATTTCCTGAAACTGCACCGAAATGTTCCTCCTGCCTCAATATTTTCTCAGTTCCACTGCTTGAGCGAAAAATAGAGGCAACGTTTGCCACCCGCAGTTTGCGTCATCAATCAATCCAAGCGCACAGACCCTAACCGGGGCACCGTGTGATATATACCCCTTTGGTAAAGACACTCGTTAGACATTATCGACCTAATATATACTCCTTTGGTAAAGACACTCGTTATTGACCTAATAAAGTAACAATGCCGTTCAGCCGTCTGGCCGCTTACCTTAGCAGATACTGATCGGCGGGACGATACGACTTAAAGCCAAAAAATTGTTGACAACGCTTTGCATGAAACATGAATTTCCTTATCTCTAGTCAGTGAACGTGGCTATGGCATGTAAGCAACTAGAGCTGGAAGCATACTCTGCATTTTCTGCGTGTGAACAAACATGACATGCTGGCATTGTCAGCGACCACGTTGGTTGCCATAAAAGCGGCACATGAAACATTTTTCTGTCTTAAGGTTGTATCATGCCGGCAATAGATAGCCGACACCATTGCCAGGCCATCAGCTGTGCGCCATTGCCTCGTTGAATGCACCTTGCAAGTGAACTGAGAAGTGCCGGAAACAGAACCCCATCATGAATGAAAAGAAGAAAAAAAGGCAGGGAGGCTGAGGGAGGAAGTGTAGCAGTTCGGCCTTGTTTTAACTGGGGCACAAGGCTGCTTAAGCCACCTTTGCTGCAATACAGTGGTGCCCTGTGGAAAAGCGTGTTCATATTTCAAAAGGGCTGTTAGCACTATAGTCATGGGACGCAGCAAATTTCTTTTGATTTCTCATACATGTATGTATACGGCACATAATTGTGAGTGCTAGTATAATAGCTGATGCCTAAATAGAATATTGTCGCTTACCGGCAGTCATTTGCATCAGTGTATTTATTTTATTATTATTTAGAAATACTGTCAACCCTCTATTGAGGGTCATTACAGGAAAGGTACGACACACTGTACCAACAAATTGGGGATATAACTATACATCTCTCAATGATAAACCAGGTTTACATATTGTCACGGGGTCGTGACGTGGCCGAAGACAGGAGACTTCGTGTTGGGATTTAACTGTTTATTTGGGCGAACCGGTGCCCAGTAAACGGAAAGTCCGATTACAGCAGCAGTCTTGCACAGATAGCAGTCTCGGACTGATAGCGGCGAACGGAGCGTCGGCCTTCGTTCAACAACTGACAAGCGGCGAAGCGCGTCGGCATTTATACTCTTGCCGTCGAATGTTCTAGCGTTATCACTGGCGGTGGCGTAGGTTCCAGAACAATCTGTACCGTTCGCACAGTGGGCGTGATCTTATCGAAATGGTCTACTACAGTCCGGAACCTTCTCGAAAACTGCAGGCGCGGTTTGCGCTGAGAATCGTGTGGTGTTTTGGGACGATAACGAAAACTTGGGAAATGGAACGTGGCATTGCCCCCTCTGAAAAAAAGGCATCGTCCCGATGCTTTAACTAAAGATGAAGGTACAATAATAATGCAAGAAAGTACAATGAATAAATTACGATGAAACAATAATACAAAAAAACACTGTTTCAGTTTGTTAACGCGCATGAAACGGCTTGAGGCGCGCGACATGAACGACTTCAGGTCGCGATCGGCGTCGTTGAGAGTTCGTGATGCCGTCGGGGACAACCTCGTAATCAAGTGGGCCGAGACGTCGAACCACCCTGTACGGTCCGAAGTAGCGTCGCAGAAGCTTTTCACTTAGTCCACGTCGGCGTATCGGCGTCCACACCCAAACACGTTCACCGGGCTGGTATTCCACGAAACGTCGTCGAAGGTTGTAACGGTGGCTGTCTGTCGTCTGTTGATTCTTGATACGCAGACGCGCAAGTTGTCGGGCTTCTTCGGCACGTTGAAGGTACTCGCTCACATCGAGGCTTTCTTCGTCGGTGACGTTGGGTAACATGGCATCGAGCGTCGTTGCTGGGCTCCTTCCGTAGACCAATTTGTATGGAGATATCTGCGTCGTCTCCTGCACCGCCGTGTTGTATGCGAAGGTCACATACGGAAGAATGGCGTCCCACGTCTTGTGTTCGACATCGACGTACATTGACAGCATGTCGGCGATTGTCTTGTTAAGCCGCTCGGTGAGGCCGTTGGTCTGTGGGTGGTACGCTGTCGTCCGGCGGTGGTTTGCTTGGCTGTATGCCAAGATCGCTTGAGTTAAGTCGGCAGTGAATGCCGTTCCTCTGTCGGTGATAAGGACCTCCGGGGCGCCGTGACGTAGGACGATATTTTCGACGAAGAACTTAGCTACCTCAGATGCACTGCCTTTTGGCAGGGCTTTTGTCTCGGCGTAGCGGGTGAGGTAGTCGGTAGCTACCACGATCCACTTGTTTCCGAAAGCCGACGTCGGGAACAGCCCTAGTAGGTCCATACCAATCTGCTGGAAAGGTCGGCAAGGTGGATCAATTGGCTGCAGAAGTCCCACTGGCCTTGTCAGCTGTGTCTTGCATCGCTGACAGTCCCGGCATGTCCTCACATAACGAGTGACGTCGGTGGTAAGACGTGGCCAGTAGTACCTTTCTTGTATCCTCGCGAGCGTGCGAGAAACACCGAGGTGCCCTGCCGTCGGATCGTCGTGCAGGGCCTGCAGGAGTTCTGGTCGCAGAGATTAAGGCACCACAAGGAGGTACTTAGCTCGAAGCGGTGAAAAGTTTTTCTTTTGTAGAAGACCGTTTCGTAGGAAGAACGACGCAAGTGCGCGCTTGAATACCTTCGGGACTTCGGCGGTCCTGCCTTCGAGGTATTCTATTAGGGCCTTAAGTTCCGGGTCGGCCCGCTGTCGTTCAGCGAAGTCGTCTGTAGTTATCGTTCCCAAGAAGTAGTCGTCATCTGGGTCGTCTGGTAGCGGTTGGTCGACAGGCACACGAGAGAGACAGTCGGCGTCGGAGTGTTTTTTGCCGGACTTGTAAATGACAGTAATGTCATATTCTTGAAGTCTCAGGCTCCATCGTGCGAGGCGACTTGAAGGGTCCTTCAAGGTGGCTAGCCAACACAAGGCGTTGTGGTCGCTCACAACTTTGAAGGGCCTGCCGTAGAGGTAGGGGCGAAATTTCAACGTAGTCCAGATGATGGCGAGGCACTCTTTTTTGTTGTGGAATAATTTGCTTCTGCTTTGGATAGCGATCGGCTGGCATAACTAATAACCCTTTCAAGTCCGTCAGCCCTCTGCACAAGAACGGCGCCAAGACCTACGCTGCTTGCGTCAGTATGTATTTCTGTCTCGGCGAATTCGTCGAAATGGGCAAGTAACGGAGGCGTCTGGAGGCGATGTTCAAGCTCCTGGAAAGCATGTTCCTGTGGCGTTTCCCACTTGAATTCCACGTCGGCCTTGGTAAGGTTAGTGAGAGGATCGGCGATGCGGGCGAAGTTTTTCATGAACCGCCTATAATAGGCGCACGGGCCCAGAAATCGGCGCACGGCCTTCTTGTCAGTGGGCGGCGGGCAGTTGGCGATGGCGGCTGTTTTCCGTGGATCGGGACGAACTCCAGACTTGCTGATAACGTGCCCCAGAAACAAGAGCTCCTCATACGCAAATCTGCACTTTTCTGGCTTCAGTGTGAGTCCGGACGTCTTGATGGCTTGAAGTACAGCTTCAAGGCGCCGAACATGCTCGTCGAAACTCGAGGAAAACACGATGACGTCGTCCAAGTACACAAAGCAAGTCTGCCACTTCAATCCTGCCAGTACTGTATCCATAACGTGTTGAAAAGTTGCAGGCGCTGAGCAAAGGCCTAAGGGCATCACCTTAAACTCGAAGAGGCCGTCCGGTGTTATAAACGCCGTCTTCTCTCGGTCTCTTTCGTCGACTTCGATTTGCCAATAGCCAGTCTTGAGGTCCATTGACGAAAAGTACTTGGTGTTATGGAGCCGATCAAGTGCGTCGTCTATTCGAGGGAGAGGATACACGTCCTTTCTTGTGATTTTGTTCAGGTGGCGATAATCGACGCAGAAACGTAGGGTCCCGTCCTTTTTCTTTACTAACACCACGGGGGATGCCCATGGGCTCTTGGACGGCTGGATAATGTCATCCCGCAGCATTTCATCAACTTGTCTCTTCATGGCCTCACGTTCTCGCGTCGAAACCCTGTACGGACTCTGACGGAGTGGTCTGGCATTTTCTTCGGTTATGATGCGATGTTTCGTGATTGGGGTCTGCCGAATTTTTGATGACGACGGAAAGCAATCTTCGTATTGCAGGAGCAGGGCCTTGAGCTGTTCTTGCTTATCGTTCGGAAGTCTGGGATTGACGTAGAAAGCTATGGGAGGGGCTTGGTTCCTCCGAGCAGGTTCCGCAGAATCGGCGAGGGTGAAAACACTGGTGGCTTCGACAATTTCTTCGATGTATGCGACCGTTGTTCCTTTGTTCACATGTTTGTACTCATTGCTGAAATTCGTGAGCATAACCATTGCTTTTCCTCCCCGCAGCTCTGCAATTCCTCTTGCGATGCAAATATTTCGGGTGACCAACAGATGCTGACTGCCTTCAACGACGCCTTCCAAGTCAGGTGATTTAAGAGCGCCGACTGAAATAATGACGCTTGAGCGAGGCGGAATGGTGACTTGTTCTTCCAGCACATTCAAGGCATGGTGTCCTGATGGCGTGCACGGCGGTAGTGCTTCTTCTGTGGATAACGTTATCGACTTTGTTTTTATGTTGATGACAGCACCATGGA